AAAACTAGCCAGAAATTAAGCACTGGGCAGGGTTGTGCCCAAGGTGTGCTCCAGTGTCCCTCCCAGCCCAAGTGTCCTGGTTGGGGCTGGACTAGAGTTCCCGTTGGTCTGGCAGCGGGAGGAGCTGCAGCACCCTGAGACCCCAGGGGCTCCCCAGGTCCCAGTGCCCTCACCTGTGTGCGGGGGTGGGGGGAGCACAGCTGGAGGGCTGGGCCCCGATTGGCCGATTATCCCATGTCATGTGACACTGTGCTCACTATATAAAGGCAGCAGAGGGCTGGGAGGGGCTCTCACTTCTGGGAGTGTGGCTGTGGGGCCTTTGTGTTTGGGATCACCAGCTGTGAGCAGGTGGGTGGTGAGCAGCTGTATTGTACATTACCCGTTGATACTGCTGTCAGTGTATTGTTCTGTTACTGTTATTAAACTGTTTTTATCTCAACCCGTGAGTCTCCCTTTGCCCCTCTGATTCCCTCCCCATTCCCAAGTGGGGGGAGGGTGGGTGAGCGACTGTGGGGTGTTTAGCTGCTGAGTAGGCTCAAACCACAACACCAAGTTACACAGACAAACCTCTGTACAACCTCACCTTCCATTTTGACCCTATTCAATCTTTAATTATTACATTAATTATCAGTACCGCTTCAAGAGGTTTCCCAGCACAACACTGAGCACTTTGCAGCCTAGTGAATTCCATGGCAAAAGGAGAAAAAAGCCCTAGTGGGATTGAAGGGCAAGTGCCTAAATACAAGTGCTCCACTTTCATGGCATCTGTAATTCCATCACAGCCCCTGGATAAAGGGAAGCTGGATACTCCTGACCACGCTGAGTTGTTGGAAATGTCATCCAGGTAGAGCCCAACCCACTGGGAAAAAAAAAAAAGGGAGGGGTGTTACAAGTGGCCATGCAGACTACTGTTTCTGTAAGGTGTCATGGTATTATTTTGAATAGAAATGAGCTGAAATACAGAAATTTTTTCCTGTGTTGGATGTGTGATCATTTGATGAAATATTGAAACTTTTCACTGTTTTAGGGTGTGGAAAATAACTGAAAAGCCTTTTTTTCCTATTGAAAAAAATGCTGCAATAAGCTTTTTAGTAGTTGGGGGCAGCAATGCCTAGGACACTGTGTTTCTGTCTTTCTCTTGAGTAAGCTCCACTGGTTTACTTTTTTTGCTGCACTTCATTTCTGTTCCAGGGAATGAGCAGGGGTCAGGTCTCTGACCCTGATCAGCCGACCTGTGATGTGACTCTTCCTAGACAAGCAAGTGGAGTATTTACTGTCAGATATTTCGGTCTCCCATTATCTATCCCCCATGTTCAAAGGTCACAGGAAGTAAATGGTTTGAAATTGTTTCTTTTTTTTTCTTTTCCATTCATTGCAGATAAACTTTGACTTTTGCAGTAGCTGTATTTTCCCTGCCGTGATACAATATTGTCAGTGTAAAGCCAAATACTGACATAGAGCTGATGTCCAGTGTTGATCTTAGTCTAGTTTTTCAGAAGTCTCCAGTCTGGAGAATACAGATGATCGCAAGTTTTCTGATGAGAATGTGTTGGGAATTTTTTAAATTGAGAAATGATGACTCACAAAAATTCAAACTTTGTCTTGTGGGAACATACCAATTTTGCTATGAAACTCATTTGGGGGAAGGCTTCTCGGGCCTAGGAAGGAAATTTGGGTCAAAAATGTCAGGCACTTCAGCAGAACCATCAATGTCCTGGGTACAGCATTCAACAATGACCACAGAGACCTCAATGCCATTTCTAGGTTTGACAGCAAGATCTTGACCTCCTGCCTCCCAGGCAACTGCTGATTCCTCATCTGCTGGCTGGAAGAGCCATGTTCTTACATCAAGGGTTTTGAAAATGCTTGGCTCTGTCCTGATAGAGCACAGAAAAAAACTATGAAAGTGCTTATGGGATAAAGACTCTTTTCTTCTTAGATGTCCTGGAGGCTAAATATCTTTTCTGAAATACATGAAGGCTTTTTTTTTTTTTTTTTTTTTTTTCCATTAGTGCACAATTTACTAATAAAAGAAGTGCCACACTATGTACAAAGCATGGATCTGGCAAACAGGAGAATCGGTTTCAGTCCTTTCCTCTATCCTGTCACAGATTACTTGGCATCACTGATAGTTTGACAAACATTCTCACCAGCATCTGCACCACTTACAAGTGAGTGGCTCTTCCAGCAGTCCGTTCCCATGGCTGTATGTCCCAGTGGCTGTGTCCAGGTTTGCCAGTGTCTGTAGAGCCATCTATGGTGTGTCATCAGCCAGGGGAGCTGCTCTGGGCTCAAATGACCTGGTTATTTTTAATTCAGGTACTTCCTCTAACTGATTAACCGTGTGACTGCACACATGCTTCTGCTGGCACAACCACTGGGATGGCACAGGGACAGGAACAAGCAACAGGAGGTGAGGGAAAGCTGCCAAAACCAAGTGCATTGCGATATGTCCTCAGTTTTTCTTGTGCAACAATAATAACAGTTATTTGTCATAGAGAAACATTAAATCCATGGAATAAAATAATTTAACAGCTATGTGGTCATGGAGCTGCTCATTAAGATTTTTTCAAACATTTGTCTGTGTGCTTGAGTAGATATAGTCCAATAATTACTGATTTTGAATATTTTACTGCCAGCTGTTCATCAAGATATGAATCGGTTGGTTAGTTATGGATGAAGTTTTCATTAGAATTTAAGCTCCTTAGATGCTTCTGAAAATGTTTTCTTCTATCCTGCTGTCTAATCTGCTATCAGCATAGCAGAAATCCCATTAATTAAGGAGTAAGACCTTTCATAATCTTCTTCCCAGACTGTAGAATTCATTTACTGTTGCTGTTCATCTGGCTGAGTCCAGCATAGAGTGCTGCTGGTTGTCTGAAGCATCAGCCCCTGCATGCACGGGATCATGCTCAGGCTTCTTCCTAGAAGGATGAAATTATCCTGTAAGAGCAAGGTTATCCAACACAGTCTGGCACTCCAGCTTCAGCTGTGGGCCAGTGGCTGTTATTTAATAAGATTTACGGCACTCTATGTGCTCCTTGAATAATAAAAAAAAAAAGGATTAGGACTGAGAATGAGAAAACATCCTACATGTCATGCCTGTCTTCTGCACTGCTAATATGCCATTAATACAATTTGTCTCTGGTGGAAAACTAGAAGGTAACTGAAGTTGATGAGTTGGGTATACTATTCAATATACAAATATAAATCTTTGCTAACTGAAGGTTAGCAAACGTGACACCCATCTGCAAGAAGGTCCAGATGGAGGATCTGGGATACTCCAGTCCTGTCAGTCTGACCTCAGCGGTGAGGAAGGTTATGGAGCAGATGACCTTGAGTGCCATCACATGGCACGTACAGGACAACCAGGTGATCGGGCCCAGTCAGCACGGGTTTATGAAAGGCAGATCCTGATTGACTAACCTGATCTCTTTCTATGACAAGGTGATCTGCTTAGTGGATGAAGGAAAGGCTGTGGGTGTTGTCTACCTGGACTTTAGTAAAGCCTTTGACACCATTTCCTACAGCATTCTGCTGGAAAAAATGCCGCTCATGTCTTGGTTGGGTGCACTCTTCACTGGATAAAAAACTGGCTGGATGGCCAGGCCTAAAGAGTGGTGGGGAATGGAGCTAAATGCAGTTGGTGGCCGGTCACAAGTGGTGTTCCCCAGGGCTCAGTATTGTGGCCAGTTCTGTTCAATATCTTTATCAGTGATCTGGACAAGGGGATCGAGTGCACCCTCAGTAAGTTTGCAGATGACACCAAGTTGGGCAGGAGTGTTGATCTGATGGGGGGTAGGAAGGCTCTACAGGAGGGATCTGGGCAGCCTGGATTGATGGGCCAAGGCCGACTGTATGAGGTTCAACAAGGCTCAGTGCCAGGTCCTGCACTCGGGTCACAACCACCCCATGCAACACTACCGGCTTGGGGCAGAGTGGCTGGAAAGCTGCCTGGTGGAAAAGGACCTGGGGGTGTTGGTTGGAAGCCAGCTGAATATGAGCCAGCAGTGTGCCCAGGTGGTTAAGAAGGCCAACAGAATCCTGGCTTGTATCAGAGATAGTGTGGCCAGCAGGACTAGGGAAGGGATTGTCCCCCTGTACTCAGCACTGGTGAGGCCACCTCAATTCCTGTGTTCAGTTTTGGGTCCCTCACTACAAGAAAGACATTGAGGGGCTGGAGAGTGTTAAAAGGGCAACAAAGCTGGTGAAGGGTCCAGAGCACAAGTCCTGCAAGGAGCAGCTGATGGAACTGGGGGTGTTTAGCCTGGAGGAGAGGAGGCTGAGGGGAGACCTTATTGCTGTCTACAACTACCTGAAAGGAGGTTGTAGTGAGGTGGGGGCTGATCTCTTCTCCCAAGTAACAAGCGATAGGACAAGAGGAAGTGGTTTCAAGTTGTGCCAGGTGATGTTTAGATTGGATATTAGGAAAAATTTCTTCACCAAAAAGTTTGTCAGTCACTGGAACAGGCTACCCAGGGGAGTGGTTGAGTCACCATCCCTGGAGGTATTTAAGAGACATGTAGATGTGGTGCTTAGGGGCATGGTTTAGTGGTGGACTTGGCATTGTTAGGTTAAGGGTTGGACTCAATGATCTTTCCCAACCTAAATGATTCTATGATTCTAAACCCATTATGTGATTTGTAAAGGATTGTGAGAGCTGGGCTTTCAGGAAGGCCATTGAAACTAGTAGGCGTGAACTAATTAAGTAATATAAGAGTGTTAAAGTGAAAGAAATCCTGAGAATATATACACTATAAAGTTTTATACACTACAAAGACCAACCAAATTCAAATGACAAAAGAGTGTGAATCATAAAAGCCCTACTGGTGCTGGGACTACTAATCCAGAAGCTGTAGGGTCTGGGAGGTCCAACCCCACAGTGCCTGCAGGGGAGGACTGCCTCCGGGGCCACATGCTGTTGCTTGCTGTCCTCTTGGATATCCTATCTGGTAGTGCATATTGTGCCACTTGAACATGCCTTCCTCTTTTCTTCCCAGGGAATGGCTTTTACACTTGAAGAGAGGCTGCAGCTGGGGATTCATGGCCTCCTTCCTCCTTGCTTCTTGAGCCAAGACGTGCAAGTCCTCCGTGTGATGAAAAACTATGAGAACAAATCTAATGATCTAGACAAGTATGTCAAAAACATTTTCTTCTCCCTCTCCCTTTAATTTTCAGTTATTTAAAGCCCCCAGGGAGATTTGAGGATCCTGCTTCAAGGCACACAGTTTTTCCTTACAGTCACTTTTTCCCAGATGCCCATACTCTCCAGCACCAGCAGTGTTTATTCTGCCCTGTCCATCTTCGCCCAAGTTACCTGCCATCACAGTCCCAAAATAGCACTGGTACTGCTTTTTTCTACCACCACATTGCTGGAGAGCTCAGGTATTAGCCTAGCAATTCACTATACTTCTGGTACAAGTGCACAACAAAAAGGCAGCCCCAGAGTGCTGGAGGTAGAGTGAACAACTGCAGGTACCTGTCTGTATGCTCATCAGTACATTCACTACAGTATGGGATGGAAGAACAGAAAAGACCTGCCAACTAGTAGATAAAAAATATTTTAAAAAACCCAGAAGCAGTTATGTGTATTGACTAATCTTTCTGTTCCTGAGCTTCCACTGAACCCAGTATTGTTCATCAGGGTTATTGATGGAAGATGGTGTTTGGCTCCTGTTGTGACGGATGGTAGGGTTTGCATCTCCATCTGTCTCAGCTGCCATTGATCTGGGGACTGAGGCAGCAGGACTCTTCCCCTGTAGAGCAATTACATTGGCTTTTCTGTGTCACAAATGCCTCTGTTGATCTTGCAAATTATATATTGTTGGCAGTGGGTGATGACTTTTTGAAGCCACACTGCAAGATTGGGTAGTGAACACAAAAGGGAGTTTGTCATTACGTTCATACAAGTTTCTCAGACAGAAAATCATTTGCAATCTCTCTCTGGTTTTCTGAGTTCTTTATTTTTCTGGCTTCAATTCGACAAATTCAGTCTTAGCCAATTAAACATTTTTAAGAAAGAAAAATCTTTGGTGAAATGTAACATATTCTAAGTTACTAAGAGGTCATATAAACCCAGTGATGCACATGTAAGTCTGGACAACAGAAAGAATATAAAGTTGATTTAACATTTTCATTTTCTAAATTAATGGGTTTGTCTTTTTTTTTTTTTCTTTTTTTTCAAAGATGGGATTTAGCTATCTTTCTGAGTTTAGAGATTAAATAATTGAGAATGCAGGATAATGGAGAGAGGTTTTGAGGAAATATTTCAGGAAAGACAGTGCTTTGAAATGTGCATATTAACATTTGCATATATGTATATTTCATCTTCTAGATCACATAATAATTTTTGATAACAAAGATAATGTCCCGCTCTGTCCCAGGTAGCCCTGGAGTCTAATTTTGACCTTTTCCATTGCATTTGTTTTTAATGCAAATTCCAAAATTCTGAGGTTATACATGAGTCTGACTTACAGCCCTACTGAGTCTGTGAGCTGTCTGTGAGAATGGTGGAGCTGGTCAGGTCCTCTGGGAAATTTTGCTCCAAGTATCTACTCGTGATGTAGCACTAAGGAGTGTCAGGGCTTGGGAGAACTGAGTACATATGGAGTGAGCCGACTACTGCTTTTTATGAAACTGCCAACAACCACAGATACTGATATATATCTATTTTATTTTACTTTTAAGATATATTGCTCTTATGACATTACAAGACAGGAATGAGAAGCTTTTTTACCGAGTGCTGACCTCCGACATTGAGAGATTCATGCCCATCATTTACACCCCAACGGTTGGCCTAGCTTGTCAGCAATATGGCTTGGCTTTCAGGAGACCACGGTGAGTTCTTGCTCCCTTTTTTTAATTTCATGTGAATGTTTCTTTTGTATCGACAATCCATCCTTATGTGGGTGGCCTGAAATATCTAAAACCTGATCCCTCATCAAAAAGCGAACCAGCAAGCAGCTTCGTGTGTGTACATTTGATGATGAGCTGGGGAGTCAAGAATAGCCCTGCCTTCTTCCTATAAACAGTGAACAGAGTGGTTTTGTTCTCGAACAGTACTGTACAGTCTGTGCAGCTTAGCTCCAAACAGCTCAACTTATGGCTGCACCCTTCCCCATCTGTTGTCTCAGGAGCACTGAGTGCCTTCTGCAGTGCTGGCGTTTGAGTGATTGTTGGATTTGGGATATGTTGTGCTGATTTTGAACTTTTGTATGCACTTCCACAAACCACTCCACAGGAATCATTTTCATCATAGGAGATGATGCTCTGCATCAGTGCCTTCCTCATTGCTCAGAACAGTTACTGTGTAAGTTCATGCAGCATTAAACACTCTATACCATGTTGGAAGGCCCTGTTCTGCATAATTCTTTTTAATGACTGATGTTTAGATAAAGCTCTCATTAGCTTTGTGAAATACACTTTAGTCCTAGCCTGAAAATTCAATGGTAAGGTTCAGTTTTCTTTGCAAGCTTTAATTTTTTTTTTATCCTTGAAATGTATATTTTAGCTTTTGTTGTAGAAATATGCAGAATAAAGGAATGGAATACTACCAGTTTTAAATCATTTCACAAGCATAATGTGTAACTGCAGTTTCAGCTGAGAGTAGTGTGGTAGGTGGGGAAACTGAGGCAAGCTCTACTAACTGACTTAAGGTCACAGGGGGACCCTGAAGCAGACCTCAAAGATGTAAGGGCTGTTTAGACAGATGATGAATAACATATTATGGATAAGATTATCTTGGCAAGTGCATTCTGCTTTTACTTCACATGAGCTGCTCTGCAGGATTGCTTTTTGGCTTATCTATCCCAGGTAATTGTGTTCTGTTCCCTGATACCCATCTTCTGGATCTGCTGGGCTGCGGTGAAGTCATTCATCTAGTCAAGCCTTGATCATATCCCCTCCTCCTCCTCAGTGTGTTTGAAGAAACCAGAGAAGGAATTGCTCATTGTACAGGGGGAGGACACTTACTTCTTCTGGGCAGGAGTAGAAGGTAGCAGAGATAAGAGAGCCCAGACTGTCTCCAGGTGTTGAGCTGTGGGCTCTGTCAGGCAGGGAAGAGCACACTGCTGGTTCTCAGCTAATCAAAATTTACAGCAGCAATTCCTGCTGTACAGCCACTGTATCTTTGCCTTTGGTCTGCCTTTACCTTGCAAGAAGTTACAACAATGTTTGGGAGCTTTGCTTCTTTTATTTTCCATCCCTGATGTTGTCCTCAGGAAGGCAGGGTTGTCTTTCCATATAGTGGACTCTTTCTGCAGTTGTTGCTGTTGGAGAATTCCCCTTCCTGTAACTCACTTCTTTCTTATGTTTTAAACCCACAGTATTTTACCACTGTGGTAAGAACATCTGTTCTCATAGTCTGCCAGTTTTGCTGCTGAAATTGGGCTTGGAGCTGTTCTGGATTCCAGCCCACGGCTTCTGCAGGAAAGGGCAAACTATCATGCCCTTAGTACGCTGAATTTCCTATGGCGGGGAGTTTGTTTCCCTGAAGATGCAGAGTGAATTTCAGCCTAGCCTCAGATTTGGTTTTAATCAATGTTCTTTTAGCAAAAGAGTGTTTTTGTTGCAAAAAGAAAAGAGCTATTATATCATGTAAAGTGATGAGATTAAAATGAGAAGCACTCATATGTGCTTTTTTTGTCAATCTGACTCTTATTTCTTACAGTATATATCTTCTGGAGCATATTATGTACATCAGGAGGTGGCCTGCCAGACACTTAGTTCAGGGAAGGATGCCAACACTTTCTGTTAAATTCATTAGGACCTGCAGATTTCGGGAGCTCATGTATTAAAACCTAAATTTGAATTTCTAGCTCTTCCCATTTTTGTTATCCTAAGTTCCACTGGCAGTCTGAAAAACTGATTCTTCTAACCTCATTTTACTTGTATCAGAAGGTTTCTAAAACAAAATGACACCTGTGTAAATATATTTCACTGATGTTTTAGGGAGCACATAGCACCTAGAACTGGAGAGGTTGTCCAAGCCATTCAGTTTTGCTCCACTGTTACAGGAAGCCTTATCATATAATCTGATTCATTAACTGATTATGTTTTATTTTAAATCTGCAATAAAGCTGCCCCATGTAGTCCATTCTAGTACTTAACTCTCATATAGGTAGAAAGCAGTTTTCTCCTAGTTAGATTTTAGCTTTTGCTAACAGGTCCCAGTGTGCCCTCAGCTTTTTTTTTGGTATTATCTGAGTGATCTGGTCACTGTAATTCATTTTATCATCTCCTTGTGAATCTTTTCTTGGAAACAATTACCCCACCAGATATGTGCCACTCTGTAATTGTTCTTAGCAATTCTCTTCACTACATGTCCTGCTGTGAACTCTGTCCTGTTGGGTTTAGGTCATCTCTCCAGTGAATCAAAGTCTTTCTAAACCTGTCCTCTGGAGTGCTGCACCTCACAGCCCGACTCCTTGGGTGACAGGGAGCTGGTTTGAATATTTGCTGCAGCAATTACCTCTTCATCCAGACTGTCACATTTAATGCTGTTGATCAGGCAGGAGATGAGATCTCAGTTTTAAAACACCACATGGTGCTCCAACACGGATGGACATGCACATACTTACGGTGAGCAGGGAAGTCTGCAGAATATTATACAGTCATTCTGCGGCCACAGCAGCAGCAATTAGTGACCTGTGGACACAGTAAACTTCTTCCCTGTGTTGAGATCTTTCTCAGCCCTATTAGTGTTTGGCTTTATATTTGAAGGTTGAGCCTGGAAAGATTCACGCACAAGCAACTTTCTTACAAAGCAACTCTTGTACAAGAGCATCTGAAAATAGTCCTACAAGGTCTAGCACAGCTTCTCGCATCGGAATGCATTTATCAGTGTTTGCATGGCTGCAGATTTTGTTTGCCAGATACTGCTGTCATAATTGCAGGGCTCAATGCCTCTTTTATCTTCCCTGGTCTCCAGATACAAACTCTTAAGGGTGGACCTTTTACCTGCACTTTTACAGGGCTGGTGTCCAGAGTTCTCCTTCCAGGTCAGGGCTCCAGCATCCTCTCTGCCAGCAGATTTATCTGCTCTGAATGGGATCAGACATCTGCTGTTCTTCCCTTTCAAAAAGCTACCCAGACAGTAGTCTAGAAGCACAGGCTTTCTCTTACCAGTAGAAAAGAGCTACTAGAAAAAAACACAAACGTCCAACTATTCGCATGCTTATCTGTGATGCCCATAGTGTCCCCACTTCTGGTGGACCAGGCAGAGCTTCTGATGCCCCAGCAGGTTCCTATCTCTGCCTTCCCCAAACTCCTACTGCCTTTCTCTTCGGGAGGTGTTTTAAATTTTTAAAGCAGGGTTTGTTTTTTTTTTTTTTCCTGTGGCCTCAGACTTTTGCCCATGTGATGAAGACTCAGGTGTCAAAATCTCTCTTCTGTGATGAGACCACATTAAATAAGCACCAGAGAAGATCAACCATATCCAAAGAGATGCCTTCCTAGCCATGGATCCTGTCTGTAGCAGTGGCCAGTAGCGGGAGGAGTATAAGACTAGAATAGGCAAATATGCTCACTTCTTGGAGGCATCTCAGGTTATGCAGCTCCTCATTTTGTGTCTCAGAGTCTTGTGGCTGTAGTTTTGTTGTTAGAAAAATCTGCTGCTGTGTTTGACTTCACAGTTCTGAAATGATTGTGAGGGGACCCAGATGTATGCACATTGTCAAGACCAAAGGATATGGCTAGAAAACATGTCCCAAGGTGACAAGACTTGTTTCACATACTGAAGTAATTCCAGACAATCAATGGTGACCCAGAGTTAAAGGAGATTCCTTGCAGAGTTGTACAGCTTCGAATCCTGGGGTTGCACACACACAGCTTTGCAGTCTATCTCCTAAAATCCATCCCTGGTTATTCACTTCTCCCTCCCACTACCCCTGTTCATCCACAGATGTCCATGCAGCTGTGGAATGATCTGATTCAGGAATAAATCTGGGTAGATCCAAGCCTTTTTTGGGCCAGACTAACAGTAATCCAGATAGCCACTTCACTGTCAGTTGCAACAGTTGTGCTGACACGATGAAAGGGATCTGCAGAAGCAGCAGGAAGCATGTTTCAAGGCATGGGAAGGGCAGGTTTGCTTATTTTCAGAAGCACTGATAACATAATTGTAACTTTAAGCAAGGGACAGGTTACCTTAGGTACTAAGGAGCATGGGCCTTGGAAGTGTATACTTTTCAAAGCCCGGGGATCCTTTATCCTCATCAGAAATTTGGTAGGAGGAAGGAATGAAAGTAACAGAGCAGGGCTTGCAACTTTCTGAGACACTAAAAGAAAGAAGGAGGGAGGAATTTTTTCTCTTTGATCCCATTAACAGAAAGAGTCACAATTATCTTATGAAATGCTTCTACCAGCCCTAAAAGCTTTCAGACTGTGGTTGAGAGTCCTTTTTGCTTTAGAGTGAAGAGACAAAGTCCTTTACAAACAAAAGCGCATAGTAATATTGTGATCTTTTTTCCTGTTTTTTGCCTTTTTTTTTTCAATGTAAAATGTACATAATGAATATCATGGGGGTCCTTATGTAGCACATGACTGAACATGTGCAATGCTATTTAAAAGGTATTTTTTAAGCTGGAGGATATCCTTTAATTATGACAGTATCTTTGGAAAGAGACTTTATGGTTTTTCACAAAGGAAAAGCAGAGGGAACATCTCTCAGGGCATGGAATCAGGGTTTTATTTCTTCTGTGATAGTGAGGGATAGTTTATTGCAGTAGCATAAGACCACAGTCTCTCAAGATACTGAATAATCATGATCATATTGGTATTTGAAAATATAAAGTTGTCAGCTGCTCCTCAAAAGCTTTTGACATCCCCTGAGAGCAGGA